GCCATTATTATGAAGGGCACAGTGTGGGGAGTTCACAAAAGGAGAAGCTTTTTGTTTGGATGGACAACAAATGAGGAAGACAAATGCATTTGTTGCCCAAAACAGAGGTCACCCAAATTACATACATGAAAACAAATAAGGATTAAAATCTTAAAACTAAATCAAATTCTAGCCTCATCATTTGCCTTCTCACTTCTGGTCCTGTTGCCTCACACTCCCTCCTCACTTTCAAGAACTCAAATAAAAAATTGCATAAATGTCACTTCTTATGCTGATTTGAAACCCATTTTCTTCACAACAGAGGCTAGTAAAAGCATTTTCCTGCTCCAGCTGGGGGTGATGTAGAAAAAAAATGAAGACACACAAAGGACAAAAGATAAAATTAACCTTTGAACCATTCTATAAAAGGTGATTCCCATTGGTAAGTAAACAATGGTTCCAATTCATATTAGTTTCAGACTATAGCTCTGTACAACAAAACAATTCAAAGCAGATGTCAGATATCCTAGTTTATGGGATAAACATATGAAAAAAATGTGCCTTCGAATATTTTCATTACTTAATGTATAAAATGAGCAGATAACTTCACAGTTAGAACCCCAAGTACTGAAATCAAAGGATGAACTCTTATTGATGTTAAGTCCTTTTGATCAGGACTATTTTACTAGAATACAATCAATAAATTTTGTTCCAGAGCTCATTATTTCTTATTCTTTTCTCTAATATCACAAATATTCTTTAGGCACAGGGGACAGTTAGCTCTCAGCCTTTAATGTTAATTATGGTAATCTCTGTAGACATCATCACCTCTTCTCTTAATTCATAATGTAGGCATAAAATATCAGTGCAGCTTTCTATTATGGTAGCACATGTCACTGCACTCTAGGGGGTTTTTGTGACAGCTTACTCTTTAAAGCCTTTTTTACAATTCAGTAATAAAAAATAGCTAAGAATTATATTTAAAATAGAAAGGCACTTTATTTTGTGAATGAGTTACAACCAGTAAAAAGAGAAATTAAAGACTAAAAAATAAAAAGTGCTCTCTCTTGTATCTTTTTCAAAGGCAATTCTAATTTCATACTGAACCAAATATACTCAACCAAGTTCTTGTTTACCACCTAATTAAAGATGCATATCAATCAAGTAAATGCTCATTTTTCCCATAGAAAGAAATTCTGTGCTTCATCAGCAAAATACTGCTCTAGTGCCTCCAAAAGGTAAAAAAGAGGCATTTCTATTTTGCCCCGGATCGTTCTTCATTCACTCACCTATCTACATTAACATTTACAATGAAGCAGGGACAGACATCTTATGTGACTCTCCTGATCATTCCCATTCAACACCTAACTTAGGTTGTAACCTGTATTACTGGCAGTGTTGTAGGAAACTGTCTCACCAACAAGCCACAAAGCATTTGTACATACTACATCATAAATTGTATTTCATTTGCAACTACTGAGAAACAAAAATAATATTTCCAAGCATGGGAGTAAATTTTATTTTATCATTACCTTAATTTTGTCCTAGGGAAAAAAACCACCGATGATAGCAACACATTTGTCAAATTCCCAATCACTCCATAAACATGAAATATTAGTATTTAACAGCATATATGTATGTGTATATATTTGAAATGCAAAAAAGGTACTAAAGAAACCCGTACCTCAAAAAAATGTTGTCAGGACCCATGGCTACTGTCATGTAGTGACTCCCCTGACTGTGGATTGCTAATTGTGTATTTTCTGCCAAAATGTTTAACAGCCATACAATACCACAGTTACAGAGGTTGTTATCTGAAGAATTCACTTACACATTCCAGTGTATTATCTGCATTTTACATGCAAAGCATGCAAAAATTATTTTTCTTTGTCAGATTTAAGAAGTATGACTCACAAAAAGCACACACCTAAAATTAGTCTGGAAATAGGAAACTAACTAGATGGCTTTTCCTATCAGAGATATTCATTTCCATAGCACCTAATTCTGCCATCAAGCATCATTGTTGTCAATATATTATTTAAGGATTTTGTAATTTCAGGTGTCATTCCCTCTCTTGCTCTTATGTAATGCCTTTCTTCTGAGAAATGCAGATGTTTTTATACAAATAATAAGGTATACTACATCTACAAGTTAGGAACTTCTGCCTTTCACAGGTGGAACTGAAACAGAGATAATATGGCCCAGATTCACAAATTTTCTGAAGTCATCTTCTCTCAGAAAAGATTACAGTAATTCTAATTTACTTTGGAAAATTACTTCATCCTAAGTGAACTCTCCTGTAATTTGAAGCCATCTTATTGCAGTAATATCTAACACAAAAGAGAAACTGATTTTTTTGGTGGTTTTTTTTTTTCCTGAATCAGATTTTGGTTAAAGGTGTCATTACATCTCCAAACCAAGTGAATATTAATGCCATAAAGGTATCAGTCATGACTCCTAGCTGCGGGGAATCTCCATTTCACATTTACAAGAAATTAGTTCAACTCCTGCTGTGCTTAAAAACCACATTATATATTCTCCTACCTGAATGACCAACACAAAATGAGTTCTCTAAATACAAGTTTAAATGTAAGTTCACTAAATTATGAGAGATGCATCTACATCAAATAAGAAAAATCTGATTCCTCAGAGCACTGTTGTCAGCCTCAGCATAGTGCAGAATTGGTTTTGGCCCCAGCCAGAGGCAGGCTGTTCTCATCCTGCTGCAGCCCAGTTAAAGCAGAAGCTCATGTTTTATGAAGAAGCAAGATGGCAACAAAGCTCAGAACAGGTTTTTCTAATTGTGATTCAACAGAGGATAAATAAAATCAGTCCCAGGGCTCATGTGGGAACCTCCTCTGACAGAGGAAAACCTTCTTTTCTCATTAACTCACACATGGCAGCCCTGTTAAGTGGAGCAACATAGAGGACGGGCTCACATCAAAAGTTTTCATTGATAAATCACTTCTTTCCAGCCTCCACCACTGTAAAGATCATACAAGGGGTGACAGGACTCAGAATTTGTGGTCATAATGCTCCTTGCAGCACTGCTGCCTTTAGTACAGCATGGAAAAAGGTAATCTTAGCTGGAAAACCATGATGTGATCACACTCTGATCAGAGTCAGAAAAGTCAGAAGGATTGACTTTTTGCTTCTGTTTGTGTTTGGTTTTGCTTTGGGGAGAATGGGGGGGGGTATATGGGTATTTAAAAAAATTGTATTAATCTTCATAGTACTCTTCTGAATTAATAAATCCATTGCAAAATAAAGGCATTTTCATCAACCCACTTCAGCTGCTCCGCCAACAACAACAAAAAAATCTAAAATAGATTTTTATTTTTGGGCTGCTTTGTTATAACCAGCAGAATGGTGAATCTGCCCCCAACTGTTAGTAATTAAAAAAACATTTAAGGCTGCATATCCTCAAAGTATTAGAAATAATTATGTGACAGGACTGTTACAGAGAACGTTTGCTTAATATAGCTCAAAGAAATGAGATAAGAGTTACTAAGATGTACATATAAGGTTGCCTTTCAATGAAGGTACAGGTGTGAGAGAAGGGAATGAAGGAGAAGACCTTCATCTGCAAAAGACTAACAGCCCAGAAAATTTTCTTCAGATATCCTCTAGCAGAATCTGCAGCTTTTTACCTAATCTTTGAAACACATAGTCATGCAGATAAGGCAGCATTAAATGGATCACTGCTGCCTCTGGAAAGGAAGATAAGTTAGCCTTTGGTACTTAGATATTCACTTTCTGACAGCTGTTCTTCTTTCTCAAGAAATGTTTCTGCCAAGCAAAGATTACTTGGGATTGACAAATCTCTGCTTTGGAATAAACAAGATCTTTACTCTGATAGGATGTTGGAAACAGATGTTTAAGATCCACATAACACTTTAGTCTATCAGGCATAACATATAACTTGAGGGGGTCTCAGGAAAAAGGTCCCACAAACACCTACATGTGCCTGACAGTGTTTATGAATCCCTGCTATTTCAAAAAATACCAAGGGGAAGAAATCTTTCCCTCTCACACTGCAAGTCTAATGAGGAAAAGACAATTCTCCTTCCTACCCTGTGAGAGGGTGGAGACAAAGAGCACAAAGAGGAGAAACCATGGTGAGGTTGGTGTAGCTGCTAAAGTGGTCTGGAGAAATTCACACAAAAAAATGCTAGAGCCTAATGAAAGTACAAGGTGGTTTGATTTCTTAAAAAAAAAATGCATATCCCTTTGGGATAACTAACTGTTCTGCAATGCATGTGGCATATCAGGACTGCTAGCATTCCCACAATTATTATCAAAACTTCCTGCTGTATCAATCGGCTGGAGATAGGGGGAAAAGCTACATAGGGTCCCAAATTCCTCAGTGCACTTTGCTAACCTTCAGTGCTCACCCTGTTGCTCCAAATACAGCCTGTGCTTCCTCTGCACCCTAAAGTCTGGGTGCCCTCCTCCACCTTTACTGTCTCCTTATTCAAGCCAGGATCTTCACCAATGGGACAGTGGACTCAAGTGAACACTATGGAATACAAACATTTTAAGGCTTGTCTAAGTTTTAATATTTTGTTAAATACATGCCCAGAAGTGGAAGTCATCAAAAGTGGCTGTCACTAATTGCAGTGGTTGCCACACAAGAGTGACAACATGTTATCAGTAAATTCTGGTGCTGGATTATACTATTTTTGTTTCCCAGGACAAGTTCTTCAGTAAAATTATCCCAAACCAAGCACATAAGATACATGCAATTTTACACATGTATATAGACAAGCATTTGAAAATGACTAGCCGAAAATTGGCACAAAACTTTTTCAGATGTGATGCAATGTAACAGGCCCGTACAGGGTACAGGTATCCTTGAACCTAGGATCTGCTAAACTGACATTTAATTGCAAAGAGGTGCTGAACCTTTGTTAAAGTTTACTCTTACATACATACAAACCAAATGCAGTTTTCAGATATGCCAGTTCAGATTTTTTGTTTGTAACATTTGACACCAGCCAAGCTCTGCACAATTCTTTTACCTGGAGTAATGGATAGCTTGATGTCCTGCAATATTGAAATAGAAATCAGTTGTGTGTTTCATCTCATCAGTATGTCCAGAGACTTCAATCCAGTGTGCTATTGGGAGGCAGTAAACTCCATCTACTATGTTGCTCTGGTTGAAAACACAACTTCGATCATGATGGGGCCCACTACCTAGAACAGAAGAAAGGACAGTTGCAGACTGTGTGTCTGGATAATCTTAAAAAAAACCCAAAAACTGTAGGGAGACTTGAACTGAGCATTCAAGGCCAAAAGCGGTGTTTCCTGCTTCTTCAAACCGCATTATTAGCAACTGAAGTAGTGGCAACAGAAACACTGCCACAAAGCAAATATTCAGCATTAAAATAAAATTTTGTAGATTATTTTAAAAATATTTTTTAATTTATTGGCTATTTTAAAACCCCCACAATATTAAAAACTCCTAAATCACTTACAATGTAAGAATAATTAATTTCATTTAAGTTCTTTATTTGATGTCTCACAGTATGTGACCTCAGTGTTTTATATTCTTGCTCAGTGACCTCTCCCAAGGGTATCAATCTTGCTGTGTCTCAGACATGCCATGGCAGCCTGACCTTGGTTCAGGCTGACTTCTAAGAAAGTTGCCAAGATATGGGAAAGACCTCAGAGAAAGTTCAGAGGACAGTCATGCGTGCTCAGAAAGGTAAAACCACCAAAAAAGGTAGGACTGGTGACACAGGATTTGCTACCAGCTTAAGGATTCAAGAGGAAAAATATCAAGGTGGAAAGGCATCAAAGCCCAAAGAAGGTGGCAGCAATGTAGAAATAAGGCAGACTTGTTTAAAGGGGGAAAGATTTCCTCTTCCACTTCATTCACAGCTGCCTGGCCAGCAAAGACTCATCAGATTCCTGCTGCAGACCAGACACATTTGGATATCTAGCCAAGGAGTTCATTAAACCTTCTCTGCCTTTTATGTTTGTGGACCAATAGACACTCCCTTTGTTGTCTTCAAATGCATGTCTCGCTTTGAGAGTCTGTTCATACCCAGTAGAAGCTGCCCAAAGTGACCCACGGAGTGACAATTGCAATGGTGAATGACCCCAACTACCTTAAACGGCCTAATTTAAAGCAAGATTCTTTTTCTTATATTCCACCAGTATTTATTACCTCTTCTTCTTCTCCTACAGCAATAGTGTGAGCTTTAGTCAGAAAACATGTTTTTAATCCCAGTTGCTTACCAGAGTAAGCAACTTGAATTGAAATGGGCCACTTCATCAATCAAAAGGTTATCTAGCCTCCAAAAATACAGTACATGTACATTCTCCCCCCAGCACCATCTTTACATACTTATTGTAATACTAATTGCCATGTAGGAATAATTATCGTGCAGATCAGAAGTGACCTAGTCTATGGCTTCCTTAAGCCTGTTACACTTATACATTATTAATGATGTTAAAATATTTCTGAGAAAAATTATGCCCAAAGGAATATCTTCAATTTCCCATTGCACATAAATGCATGAGCAGTTTTCAATCACTAAAGTTAGGGAAATTTGCTAGAGCAAGAGCATTTTGGGAGATGTATTAATGCAATGATTAGAGAGTAAGAATAATATTTAAGAGAAAAGCTCAAACCATCTCCTTATTTCCAGACAACATGCAGGCCATTTTATCGTAATTGTGACATATTATTATTTACCAAAATGAAAAATAAAATATGAGGTGGAAAACTATTTTCTCTTTCACATTGCTGAGCAATTATGCATCACATAGTTTTTGATTATTTTGATTATAAATAAGGTAAGCAAGATCAGTAAAGTTTCAGAAGCTACAAATCTCACCACTATATTTTTATCTCACATGTCTGATTTTTTACATATTCTTAGCACTTTTAACCAATACAAGAAGACAACAGCACACATCAACAAATACAACAGTGTGACAAAATATATGGATGCTTATGACATTTAATTAATGACTCCATGCATGCAGCCACAAAGAGCCCACCTTGCCTTCCCCATTCTACTCTCCAACACCTGTTTGTAGCCATGCACATCACCGCGCCCACCTCCTGCCCTCTCGAGGCTGTGCCTGACCTGACCCCCACACACCCACGGGCCCATGTCCTGCCCCAGCCTCAGCCTGTCCCCAGGGAGGTGCCTGATGCTCGGGGCTGGGGCTGCCCTGGTGCCCCAGGCTGCCTGCTCCTGACTGCCAGTCCCATGGGGTGTCCCTGCAGTCACAGGGAGCTGCCAGCCCTCGCTGTGCCCTGTCAGTTTTGAACCATGGATCTCTGGCAGTTTTGCTACTGCCAGCCCTGTGTTTCCTGGTACACAGGTACCCACCGTGTGCTTCCTAATGCCCCATTTCCAACTGCTGCTGGTGAAGGTGCATGCACTTCTGCCACCTGCCAGTTTTACAGTTCATCATCCTTCTCCTTTTCCAGCTTTAATTCTTGTCCCTTTTTTGCCTTCCTTCCTTCTCCATGACCTTCCTCCTCTCTGCCTTTTTAAGTGCTGCAGCCTCCTTGCCTTGTAACCTTACCACCTTCACCATCATTAATTCCCCTAAATAGCCTGAAACCACATATGGATATGGGGCCAAGAGTAAGTTGCCATGAGATGTTTATTTTATTTGTTCCCTCAAACAGGTTTGGTCAAATCTCATTCTGAAACACTTTCTTCTGTAATAAATATTTATCACTGTTGATTTTTGTGCACCACTGAGCCTCAGCCTTCCCACTGTGGCCTACAGTCAGACCTGAATCTCAAAAGGTATGGTTCTAATTTGCCTTTAATAATCAGGTAAACAGTAGCAGCTTGCATTCATATCATATTTTAAGAGAATTGCCTACTTCTTTACTACTCCTTATGTTAGATACTGATCTATGAATTAAACAACTTTCCTACTGAAATAAGACATCTGTGCAACAGAATGTATATCAACATATTTTCAACATATATGTATATATTCACACATGATATAGCTTCATACAGGAAAGAAAGTGTGCTGCCATCTTCAATAAATACTAATTTAGGGAACAGTATGATCAAAGTGGACTGTCTTCAGAAGGACTTCTTAAAGGAATTATGGAAATCTGCAATTACCAAAAAAGATCAGGTTTCACTACCCAGGCAATATCCACAATTACACAAGTGCTTCTCATCAGAGTTTGCTTCACAATATGCATTTAACAAGGAAGTTTCAAAATGAGAAAAAATTATTTTCTCAGTCTACATCATGTTTCTGCTAGCACAATCTGTCTCAGGAAATCCACCATATTTTGGATGCCATAAGACAACAATGCAATTTTTATACTACTTCAACTTTTCTGTTTCTAGAGACAATAGTAAAGCCTAGAACATCAAATGTTCCATTCATCTTTGAAAAAAAGGAAAATAAACAGAAATGTCCTTTGAGAAAGGGCTCACACAACAGCGAACACATGATTTTACAGCTAAACCCATTTCTATATCAGTATTTTTCTTCATCTCATTTTTATTCATATTCCAAATGGAAAAACACAGGTTTAATTATTTATCATTGGGAAGCAAATACACAACCATCTGAAAATATGTAAAATTCAACCATAAAAAGAGATAAGTTAAATATTTGAATGGTACTGATCTTCCCATTAATTGATCATGTTGGCTCTCCTAATTAAAGATGAAAAGCATTTTGGAAGAGTTTATTAGAATATACAGGTGCTAGTTTAACTTCTAGAATAGCATTTTATTTCCTTTAATAAGGTTAATTTTTTTTTTTAATTTAAAATCCATCTTTGAGTCTTCACAGCAAAAGTGCTTCTCTGAAACAGAAAGATTAAAATAAATTTCTTGGTGTTAAATGATAAAGTTTTTCATTGCTTTTGCACTGGTTGATCTGTACTGCAGATGGTTTTGTGCAGAATCCACTGACATAGGGAACTGCCAGAGAGCAAAGCAACCAAGTAGCCCCACTTACAGTTCAAGCCTCACAGAGGGCTCTTTCAAAATCTGCAGGACTGCAGTTTATGGCTCCTTATTTAATCCATATGAAGGATGATCAAAGGAGCCTAAGAATTCTGTACAAATAACTAAACAAAAGAATAAAACCAAAGATCTCCATATAACTGATAAATTGCTCTGGTAAAAGGAGGAAACCAGAATGGAGCAAAGGAAAACTTTGGTTTTGATCCTCCTTGAGCAGGGAAGTTGGGCTAGATGACCCACAGTGGTCCCTTGCAACCTGATTAATTCTGTGATTTTGTGAAAACTAGAAGCAGATATAGGAAGTGATACAAGATGTGCAAAGATCTAGGACTGAAAAAGGTAAGCAGAGACTAGAAGAGGATGTTCTGAAATTCAATCTAATGAGGCACAACCATGAAACACAAAAGCCTGCAGTTACTATTTTATTACAGCTGTACTGCAGGCATGAAAGAAGTATAATTCAACAGTCTGCCAACAGCACAGACTCATCTTGACACAGAAAAGGACTGCACACAGATTGCACAGAGTGGAGAAATTACCAGCTTGATCTTAAAAGATAAACAAAATATGGGTCAATGAAATTTCTTATCACCATAAGGAGTGGTGAACAAAAGACACATCAATAAATGAAAAAAAAGAAATTTCCTCTCCCACTGTCTCTGCAGAGCTCTTTGCTGCAAATCTCTGCTCAGCCATTGCTCTCCCAGTTACCAGCTTGTTGCACACCTTGCTCCAAGTTTAATTTTTTTCTATTCTGTGTTATGTAAGGGAAGGTGTGCAGGAACTACAGGGCACAACTGCAGCCATAAAGGTGCTGGGTATCTCATCCCTGCCTTAGCCTGACCCTAAAACACAGATAGGCAACTTCCAAACCTCCAAACCCCAGTAAGGTGAGGGTGTTTCTCAGTTCACTGCTATCTCTTTATAAACCACAGGGCTACTTAGATAACCTTAGAGAAACACATTAACTAACTAACTAACCAACCCAAACCACAAGCAGCCAGGCAATTTTGAGATCACCTACTCACAAATCAGTCAGAGGACAGACTAACTCCAATAATCTTTGTCATAAGTTTTGCATGAACTAGCACACTTTGAGTGTCAATTCAAAATTTTAGCTATGTTGAAATATTTTAAGTAATTCCATTTGTATCAAATGAGGTCCTTTAACAAGGTAAATGAGTATCTTAAGCTCATGCTTAGAAATTCCCCTGGAAGAAT